AATGCTTTGCGGGGGCTTGCCTTGCTGTGATACAGCCAGCAATTTTAAGAGGAGGTTCTGGCCATTGTATAGCTGTTGTACCGCTACTTGAAGAAGTCTGCCTTTTCTCAGGTGAGCCACAGCAGTCACATCCTCAGGATGCTGTGGCGGCTGTCAGGCTGCTGCTCTGGAGCCAAGTGAAATGGATTTCACATCCTACACTAACAAAAATCTCTCCTTCCTCCAGTCCCCTAAAAAAAAAAGCAAGTTGTACACGATTTTCAGACGGAGAACAGACGGGACAAATGCACAGAAAGCCGCTGTGCAGCACCATGATGTCTTGCCTCTTACCCTTAGCAGAATTGTTGTGAATAGTTGTGTTAGATATTAGGACTGTGCTTCTTTTGGACTTGAACTTCATCATCTGGGTGTGCCAGCTCAGGCTGATCACATCAGATCTGTTTTCCTTTCCACTGCACACTGAATGAGTATCTGTTCAATGCACTGTTGTGTTTGTCCCTTTGTCAGCATGGTAACCAGTTGGGTTTTTTCCTTACGCTCAACTTTAAGGCTGTTTCCAGCCTTCCAGGCAGTCTTGTACAGGTCAATAATGAAACCAGTTTAATGTTAAAAAAACCCAAACAAAACCAAAAAGTCCAACTCCAAGCCTGATTTATCTGAGCTAATGGCTGTCACAACTTATAACTGGAGCATTGCATTCACAAAGGAACAAAGAGAGCAGATTTTCTTACTGTGATGATCCATCACAGCTTCCAGCTGCAGCCGAGCAATCCCCATCTGCCTGCCTTCGAGTTCTGCTCGCAGAGCTGTCACCCAGTCCCTGTTGTCTCTCCTGCTTCCCTGCTCCAGTTTTCGTTTTTCTCCCTTCCTATTTTGTTTACCTCTTGTCCCACCCTCCCATTTCCCAACCTCTTTGCCTCTGGCACTCTCAGAACCACAACTCCCAGAGTGCTGATTAGTCTCTACATTAACAAGTCTCAGATTCAATAGCAGGAGTTGGAACTCTACCAGGCATTGGAGAAGACTCTGACCTTCATCCTGGACTGCCTCAGCCCAACTCAAACATGCCAGAAAGGAGGAGATGCAATTGATTTAGTGCTTCCCACCTGTTAACCTGGGTGGCTCACTTCAGAACCATGACAATTTTTGTAACCCTACATTTGAGCACTCTCTTGTGATGCTTATTATTTTACACACCATGGTGGGTTACTGGAATGAGATCATGGAGGACACCAAGACCTCTGCAGGAATGCGTAGAGGTGCATGTTTACAAACAGTTTTGTTGCACAAAATCTGTGAAACATGGTCTAAACATTAGCGAAATGGAACTAAAATATATAATCAGGTATTTAATTAATACAAGTGCAAAATCTAATTTTTAAATGGCAGTCAGCAGACCTCACTCCATAGAAGTATCGGCAATGGGAACCATATGGAACTTTTATAGTGTCTCAGTGACAGTATATCCCTAAGTTCCTTATTTCACCAGTTCAGCTGCAGAGTTCTTCGATAAATGTATGTGCATCTGTTTTTATCTGTGCGATTGACCTTTTCATCTGGAATCCTAAGACGTGCTGTTGGTGGTCTTTGGCAAGCTGGCTAGTTGTGTCCTGCTCTGCAAAATGCAGAAAAGACTCTACTTGTGGTCTAGTTTCTAGTCTTTAAGTTAAGCAACAGAAGATCTCAATCTCTCATGGGCCTTTTGAGCGGACTCTGTCTTAACAGAGCAGTCATCAGTTTGAAGAGGAATTGTCTTAATTTATTTCTTTCTTCAGCAGG